AGATTGGAACAATCTCAGTGAATCTGCAAGATTTACTCATACTTGAGCCAAAACTATGACAGGAACTTTGCAATGTATTTTTAAGGTTCAATACAATGGGAAGTAAACTAAGGGTACAAGATACCATTCTTGGACATTGCACCTGTACGAATTCAAATTGGGCAAGCAATAAAAGACATGAGCTTCCAAAGCCTACTTCTAATGTCAGTTAATTCACATTTTCCCACCTATTGGTACTGTAGCACTTTCAACAACAAGAAGTGATTCTACAATGTATCAATTACACATGTAACAAACTGGTTCCATACTTTAATTCCATACTCAAGTCTTGTCAAGAGCAATTCGTTTTAATATAGTCTTTCCAACTCACACTTCTTCTCCTCTTCAAAGCTTGCACAGATTGTGATTAATTAATATAGCTGGAGATGCACATTTTCACAGACTAACCTCTGATCTGGCCACATGGCTACATGGTTGTAAAGGTAGTAAGACAAGTGATTGGGAACAAGATCCTTGCCAGAAGCACGTATATCCACTGGATACCAATACTCAAACTCTTGTTTCAGTTTATCCAAAGCCTCCTTAGGAATTTTTGTTGCAGGGAATGGAGCTGTCTTAAAGAAGACGTAGTCCCATACCTCCTCAGTCATTTGGCTTGCTCTGTGTACAAGAGGCAAAAGTTATAAAAAGAAAGAAAGATTGCAGGTTTCTCTGCTTACTGAACACCCATTTGGTATGATTACTACATCATCACTAAACTTTGTTTCATTCTTCAAACTCAACTGCTTTTAATTTTTTTAAAAAAATGACCTAACTTTAACATCTGAAAAAGAATTTAAACATTTTAAATAAGCCCCCCAAAAATCAGTTGGTAGCTTACTAAATACTCCCAATGAAACAAATATTGTTTTATTTTTTTATTACCATTTTTAAAGTATCAGAGCAAACCTAAAGCTTACCCAAGATTAGACATTACCAGAACTATAATTGTAACAGATTATCCTCCAGCACATCAAAATTAGATATAGCTGACGAAAACAGTGATAACTTTCACAGTGGGCTTTGTTAATGAATGGCAAAAATCTATTTGTAAATTACTCATTCATCCCTGAAAATCCTGAAATAGTGTGTTACTCCACTAGTCATAAAGCCAGAATCTACCATGAGAGTTAAGGACACACTTATAGATTTCTCTAGTGCATTAACCACATGTGTCATTAGTGGCTCAAAATAATCTACTTTGTATTTTCTTTTATTTTCCTTTGGAAATGCAATCGATGCATTCAAATTAAGACATCAAATGCAACAAACAGCTCACATAATGACCTGGTTAATAGTTTTTAAAAAGCCATGACTCTAGAGAGTACAGAACATTATTCCTGTCATGCTAATTTTTGTAGAATTTCAGTCTACACTTTAAACACAAATGAGAGTAACCGATCCTATTAAGAGCTCAGAAGACATGAAAGGAAAATTAATTCTAACCTGACACTTGATGTTAATTTTCTTCCAGCTTTATAAAGCTAAGGACATTCTGGGACATTGTTAAATATCCCATTTCTGAAGATCCTCTCTGGTTTCATTTTATTTAACTACTAAACTTCAAGGTAACCTATTACTCAGAGGTAGATAGTACAAATGTACTACATCAGGGGTCTTCAAACTCGGCCCTTTTATGACTCATGGACTTCAGCTCCCAGAATTCCTTAGCCAGGCACGCTGGCTGAGGAATTCTAGGAGTTGAAGTCCATGAGTCATAAAAGGGCTGAGTTTGAAGACCCATGTGCTACATAGACGGAGCCACATTTATTCATTAGAAATAGAACTTTTAAAATAAGTAGAACAACTGAAATGTATCAGTCTATCAACTTAGCCCACCCTGGTGATCCTGGCAATGGTGGCAATGACCTATTTAACTAAAGAAAATATAAAGTCTCCCTTATTCTGGGATTTTTTTTCAAGCTTTCAGGCTAATCTACAGTCCTTGGTTTATTAATGGTCTCCTCTCCAAATACTAAGCAAATTCCACCAGAGTTAGATTTTTTTGAGATAAGCCAAGTTTATTTGTACCAATGACAATAATTTTATTGAAGATTCAACATTGGATATCTATTAATGCAAAGATATTACATAAATAGTCAGGTTCACCATATTTATGGCATGGTAATCAATAAAAACAGCCATTTAGAGCTTCATTGGTGACTGAGGAATGGAATGGAACAAGATCCACATCTTCATATTAATATATATTTGTTAGTCTCCATGACAGAGATACACTCATGATACAAGAGAGACACACCCCTTTGCTTTTTTGAATTTTGTAGGGTGAAATTAAGTAAAACAATCTCAGAAACTTAGCATATATATTTTGCTTCCTATTTCTCGGAAAATAACCTCAAAACCCAAATTTCAACATGACTTACAGTATATTTACTTTTTATTTCTTACAGGACAAGGCAAAACTTGCAAGAGTCTGAACTTATCACACCTTATCACCCCTCCCTTCTCACCTAATGCCCAGTGGAGATTCTCCTTGTCCACTCAAATTATCAGGCTGTAGGAAATGAGCAACTGTATAGTAGGCCATGTAGATAGTAGAATCAGAGAGAGATTCTATTAGCCACTGCTCATCCCAAGGCATACGAGTTCCTGGAAGATAATAAAATATTTTGTTAACTGTTAATCATGGACAATTAATATTCTATCCTCTTGCATTTATGGAAGAGATGAGGAGAGGGAATTATCAAACTACACCTAGTCAATCTCTTATCATATGACACTTTGCATTATACTAATGCATAGGTAAACATATTGTTTTCTTGAAAAATCTGACTTAAACATGTTTAGGCACTACAGGAATTTGTACTGAGGATCAAACTCAGTTCTAAATCAATATACTGTAGTAGAAGATAGAAGTCCATGAAAAGTATTCTGTGTTGAAAATTGAGCTGGTCATACATTATATGATTCTTTCCATAGGTTTTACAGTTATATAACCATTGGTCAATCATATATGGAAAATGAATAAAACAAAATAATAAAAGTGTCATCCTAAAGGTGCTTTTTCAAGAGGCAACTGGACTTTCTTGTTTTTCTTTGAAGATGTTCCTCTTCTCATCTAAGAAGCTTCTTCAGTTTTGCTCTTGAAAAAGCACCTTTGGGACAACCATGACCTGGATGACTGAGGATCTCCATAGACAATAAAAGTGTCGATTAATAAAACACTATTACTGGCTGATCAATAGAGAAGCTTTCCTACCTAGGCCATAAGTCCTTGAGCAGGCATGCTCCTGGAGCCAATTCAGGGTGGCTTCAAAATTTTTTCTTGTCTCGTCACAAAATCTGGGAAAATCAAAGCATTAATCTTACCTATATCTCATAGCTGTATGTTAACCCTCCTCCCTGACTCAATCCCCACACCTACGTCTCAAGGTTTTTCAGACATTCATGGGTCTGCTGCCTCCAGGCTTTTTCACCATAGTCCAAGTACCTAGGCGAAAAAGAGCCAGATATCGTAGGAGAGTAACAAAGATGATTTTGACAGAGATAGGCCAGATGCTTTACTAAAGCAATGAATGGAAAAACATGGCTTAAGTCCAAAACAAGCAGAAGGAACTTGAAAGAGTTGCAAAAAGGAGAAAGGTGTAATCAATGCAACTGTGACTTATACTTTACTTTCAACTTACCACTGGTCACAAAGAGCCACTACACACTCATCTGCAGATCTAGATATAACTTGTTTCTCTGGTTCCATATAAATAAAAGCTTCACCCTGAAATAAGGAAATTGGGAGGGGGGTATTAGGGGTAGTGGGGGTTATAATGCTGAGACAACAAAGTGGAAAATATGGATCAGAATATGATTATTTTAGCATTTTAATGCTGAATATCAGCAATTCAGATGAGGATGGATGTTACTCTAAGAATCTCTAAGAAGACTGCATGATAATCCCTACTTTCATGAACCTCGGTATACTGTACGGACAATAGATATTACACAATGCATTCTGACGTGTGTTTAATTTCCCTATGTACAACTTCAGCCATGCAAGTTCTTTTTGAATTCTATTTTGGTATCAGTTCCCTTGGACTGTGCATCTTAATACACCTAGGAGAGCACAAGAGAATCACAGAAGATTTTCCTGTCCAAGGCAGTGAAGATCTGTCTTTAAAAGACAGATCTGATTTCTCACAAAGCCTCTTCCACAAAGCTGCAAAGATGCTTCTCTAATGCCTAAATTGCAAAGCACAGAAAGTGTTACAGGAACTGACTACTTGCATGCTTTAATTCAATTATCTTCCCCTCTATGCAGGTGAAGAGGCATACTCTGCCCTATATTTTGTTAATGGATGAACATACCACATACGGAAATTATGAATCTCTACTACACTGTCCTCTTGTGACTGAAGTGTGAAAATACAATTTTGTGCAAAAGAAAACTCTCCCAATACAAATACCTCAGCTGCACAAGTTTAAGGAAACAGCAATGGGATTTCTTTCTTAAAACTCTGAGACTTTATTAAGTTTATTAAGAGAGTTTCAGAGATACAACGTATCTCTCCTTCTCTGGTGCATATTAAAATATTATTCAAAGTCCCAAAAGTTGCCTTAAGCAAGCAGAGAAAAGATTTATATGCAGAAAACAAAATAGCAAACTCTGTTGGATAAAAATATGATAAAAAACAATTATTTCTATTTGACTGAATAGGCTAAATGTAATTTATTTTTCTATCAAAAGAAATACGTTTTATTTCAAGCTACTTGTGGAGTCCTTGGTGCTCTCTGAGCTTGGTAGTTTTCTTGCAGTCATTTCACTGTTCACCTAGGTCAGGGGTCCCTAACCCCTGGGCCATGGACCAGTACCGGTCCACAGCTTGTTGGGAACTGGGCTGCGCAAGCAGTGGGTGAACCCATGAAGCTCCATTTGTGCATGTGCAGGATTAGGTTGTGAGTGCAAAACCATCCCCTTCCTCCTCCCCACCCCCACCAGCAGTCCACGGAGCCAGAAAGGTTGGGGACCACTGATCTAGATAACATCTTCAGTGCTAGAAGATGCTTTTTGGCAAACCCCCACCATGCAATTTCTCCAGGCTATTTCTCATGCAATTCTATTCCAATAAATCAAGCACTGTTTTGCACAAACAAACCAGAAAAACTGCGTAAAAGAAGTCCTCTGAGTATAAAATGGATCATGTGTAAAAAAAACACAAAATGGTAAAAACACCCTCAAATAGAGCTTGGTTCCTGCTAACTATGCAGACATGTTGGTGCAGCTTTCATGGCAACAGTTAGAAAATGATTGGCTACTGGAACACTTTAGCCTCCAGCCTTGAGATTTCCTTGAGGTTTAAGTACTAATCAGGTCAAACTTGCTTGGTTGGCAAGCCCAGAGAAGGTTGGCCAGGTGCTGCTATCTGCTAAGGCAGGGGTCCCCAACCCCTGGTCCACGGACCGGCACCGGTCCGTGGCATGCCAAAAACCGGGCCGCGTAAACAAGCAAAGCCCCATCCGTGGGATGCAGGCAGCATGCGAAACCACACCCCCTCTGGTCCATGGAAAAACTTCTCTCCATGGAACTGGTCCCTGGTACCCAAAAGGTTGGGGACTGCTGTGCTAAAGCAATCAATATATGCACACGCAAACTGTTACGTACATTGTCTACCATCTTCTTCTGAATAAGCTTCTTGACATCCTGAACTCTCTGGCCTTTGAATCCATCCACAAGCATTATCTGAAAAGAGTAGTCATTGTAGAGATTAGAATCAGCACCAGCTCCTTTAGAACCTGATTAAGCTAAAGAGGGTCTCTCACCCGCTTCATTCTAAGAGATGTCCTATTGCAGGGGTGTCAAACTCAATTTCATTGAGGGCCGCATCAGTATTGCGGTTGTCCTCGGGGGTCCGGGTAGGTGTGGCCAGGGTGGGGGCAGCCTACTGGGTGGGTGTGGCTGGAGTGGGTGTGGCCTACTGGGTGGGCATGGCCAGCTCTTCATCGTTCGCATCAAGGGTGCCTGTGGGGGCCTGGGCAGGAGTGGGACAGATCTGAGGGTCTTTGGCAGCAGGAGGTGTGACCGGGGCAAGCGCCAAGGCACGGTCCACTGGAAGAGTAGGTGAGGGCCATTTGCTGGCCACTTCCAAGCAATAGTGCATTTCTTCATTTCTCACAAAGGGTGACACCTCCCCAGCATGCACCCAGGGGGCGGGGCCAACGCGACAGGGGTCGGTCCCTTACTGTTTCCAGACGGCCTTGTGGAGCTAAGACTGAATGCATTTCAGCATAGATGGCCACCACAAAATTGTATATTGGCTCCCGGGAGGCCTGGGCCAGGGCCAAGGCAGCAGGGGCTGTTCCCTCACTGTTTCCAGGATGGCTTCGCGGACCACATGAAACCACATCACGGGCCGCATCCGGCCCCCAGACCTTGTGCTTGACATGTCTGTCCTATTGGGAATGGCGAGAGCCATGTTAAAACTGAATGGGAAGGAGTGCTCTGAGGCAACCATTCACCTGAGCAAAGCAGAGCAGAAGGGGGAAAAGCCCATTTTTGCTTCTTGCAAACCAGAGAGAGGCATATATGGATGGTGCATGGGCTACGGGCACGCACACTGGCTAGATTTGTCTACAGGCAAACAAGTAGATAAGTACGTGCCAGCAGCAGGAACTTCTTCGCCTATTTGGAGCTGCATCTCCATCTTCTGCTAGTGCATAACTGCTGGAATGTGTGCTCAGAGATAACAGGGAATTTGGACAGATTTCATATTCTTCAGAAAACTCCACACCTCCCAAGGGGGGGAAAAACCTAACTTGTGAAAGGGAGATATGTAGGCAGGCAGGCAGAAAGGAAAGTGTTTTTCCAGTTCAGTTTAACTTACTCCTTCATAAAATCCCTTCAGATATACTCTCTCTTTGGCTTCCGCAAGTTTCTCTCTGTCATTCTGACTCTGGATCTTCAGTTCATCACAGACCAGTGGAGCAGAAAGGTGGCCATATCCAGGGATCT